AAAAACTGCACGAGTAATGAGCTTTCATAGAATTCGATTAGTGTTTAATTTTTTTGATCTGACATTTGCAATTTTGAAAATCTATTATTAGATTCGTAATCAGCGACCCCAAAAATCGCCAAGTAACAGGCTTTGAGAGACTTCAATTAATGTTATTTGCTTTTATCCGCTATATTGGATACACCATTTTGAATTTTTAAAATCTGTTATTATATTCGTAATTAGCGAACCCAAAAACCTCCCAGAATCGAACATTAGAGAATTCGATTAGTGTTTAATTTTTTTGATCTGACATTTTGAATTTTGAAAATCTAATGTCAGATTCGTAATCAGCGACCCCAAAAATCCCCAAGTATCGAGCTTTGAGAGAATTCGATTAATGATTAATTTTTTGGATCTGACATTTTTAATGTTGAAAATGTAATGTCAGATTCGTAATCAGCGAACCCAAAAACCTCCGAGAATCGAACTTTAGAGAATTCGATTAGTGTTTAATTTATGTGATTCGCAATTTTGAATTTTGAAAATCAAATATCAGTTTCGTAATCAGTGACCGAAAAAACTGCACGAGTAATGAGCTTTCATAGAATTCGATTAGTGTTTAATTTTTTTGATCTGACATTTGCAATTTTGAAAATCTATTATTAGATTCGTAATCAGCGACCCCAAAAATCGCCAAGTAACAGGCTTTGAGAGACTTCAATTAATGTTATTTGCTTTTATCCGCTATATTGGATACACCATTTTGAATTTTTAAAATCTGTTATTATATTCGTAATTAGCGAACCCAAAAACCTCCCAGAATCGAACATTAGAGAATTCGATTAGTGTTTAATTTTTTTGATCTGACATTTTGAATTTTGAAAATCTAATGTCAGATTCGTAATCAGCGACCCCAAAAATCCCCAAGTATCGAGCTTTGAGAGAATTCGATTAATGATTAATTTTTTGGATCTGACATTTTTAATGTTGAAAATGTAATGTCAGATTCGTAATCAGCGAACCCAAAAACCTCCGAGAATCGAACTTTAGAGAATTCGATTAGTGTTTAATTTATGTGATTCGCAATTTTGAATTTTGAAAATCAAATATCAGTTTCGTAATCAGTGACCGAAAAAACTGCACGAGTAATGAGCTTTCATAGAATTCGATTAGTGTTTAATTTTTTTGATCTGACATTTGCAATTTTGAAAATCTATTATTAGATTCGTAATCAGCGACCCCAAAAATCGCCAAGTAACAGTCTTTGAGAGACTTCAATTAATGTTATTTGCTTTTATCCGCTATATTGGATACACCATTTTGAATTTTTAAAATCTGTTATTATATTCGTAATTAGCGAACCCAAAAACCTCCCAGAATCGAACATTAGAGAATTCGATTAGTGTTTAATTTTTTTGATCTGACATTTTGAATTTTGAAAATCTAATGTCAGATTCGTAATTAGCGACCAAAAAAACCCTTTATTAACAAACTTTTAGAGAATTCGATTAATGCTTAAATTTTTTAATCCGCCTTTTTGAATTTTGAAAATCTATTATCAGATTCGTAATCAGCGACCCCAAAAATCCCCAAGTATCGAGCTTTGAGAGAATTCGATTAGTGATTAATTTTTTGGATCTGACATTTTTAATGTTGAAAATGTAATGTCAGATTCGTAATCAGCGAACCCAAAAACCTCCGAGAATCGAACTTTAGAGAATTCGATTAGTATTTAATTTTTGTGATTCGCAATTTTGAATTTTGAAAATCAAATATCAGTTTCGTAATCAGTGACCGAAAAAACTGCACGAGTAATGAGCTTTCATAGAATTCGATTAGTGTTTAATTTTTTTGATCTGCCATTTTGAATTTTGAAAATCTAATAACGAATTTTTAATCAGTGACGGCGAAATAAGACACCGAATCACGAGCTTCCAGAGAATTCTATTAATGCTTTAATTTTGTCATCCGCTCTTTTAGGGTTCCGTACCCGAAGGGGGAACCCTATTAATGAGACTAGTGAAGCAAGGCATGTACCCCCCCCCCTAGCGGCCACACGAATTTATCTAGAGGGCTGAAATTTGGTACACATATGTATTTTGACGTGTAGATTACAGGAAAAATATAACGAATCTCATAGGAATTGATTATCATAGCGTTGTCAAGGAAAAACCATGAATTTTTACGAAAAATCCCTAAAAATGACTATGTACCCCCCCTCTGGTGGCCACATTTTTTCACATAGAGATCTCAAATTTGGTACACTTATGTATTTTTACGTGAAAATTACAGGAAAAATGTAGCGAACATGATTCGGATCGATTTACATAGCATTGTCAAGGAAAAATCAAAAATTTTGAAAAAAAGCGTTTAATCCTCCTAGCGCATACACTATTTGACCAAGACAGTTAATATTTGGTATACATACGTATTTTTGCGTATAGATTACAGAAAAAATATAGCGAGCACGAATGGAGTTGATGATCATATTGTTTTTAAGGAAAACACATATTTTTAGAAAAAATCATGGATTTTTCGAATAAAAAAAGAAGAAAATTTTATCTTAAGGGATTCAAATTTATACATTTTTACGTATTTTTACGTGTAGATTACAAAAAAAATATAGCGAGAACGATTGGAGTTGATTATCATAGCATTTTCAAGGAAAAACTGATAATTTTCGTTATATGTGACACTTTAACCCCCTTAAATTTTAGGTTTAAGGGTACGGAACCCTCGGTTTTAATGCGAGCGTAACTCGCACTTGTCCGATTTTTTAATTTTAAAAATCTATTATCAGATTCGTAATTAGCGACCCCAAAAATCGCCAAGTAACAGGCTTTGAGAGACTTCAATTAATGTTATTTGCTTTTATCCGCTATATTGGATACACCATTTTGAATTTTTAAAATCTGTTATTATATTCGTAATTAGCGAACCCAAAAACCTCCCAGAATCGAACTTTAGAGAATTCGATTAATGTTTAATTGTTTTCATCCGCTATATTAGATCCACAATTTTGAATATTGAAAATCTATTATTATATTCGTAATCAACGACCCTAAAAACCTCTGAGTAACGAACTTTCAGAGAATTCCAATAATGTTTAATTTTTTTGATGCTCCATTTTGAATTTTGATAATTAATTTTCAGATTCGTAATCAGCGACCGAAAAAAGTACCCAAGTATTCAGCTTTGAGAGAATTCGATTAGTGATTAATTTTTTGGATCTGACATTTTTAATGTTGAAAATCTAATATCTGATTCGTAATCAGCGACTACAAAAATCCCCAAGTAACGAGCTTTGAGAGAATTCGATTAATGTTTAATTGTTTTCATCCGCTATATTGGATCCACCATTTTGAATTTTGAAAATCTATTATTATATTCGTAATCAACGACCCCAAATACCACCGAGTAATGAACTTCGAGAGAATTAGATTATTGTTTAATTTCATTGATCCGCCATTAGCCTTTCAAATGCTTTAAAATTATAAATAAATACTTTATCATATTTTATGGTTTAAATAACATTTTTAGTGACCGTTGTGGTCCCAACGGTGTTTCAACGCTATTCCGTTCAAAACGCGTTGGGCCCATCCGCTAGGGGGGCATTATTATAAAGTAAATCACAGAAATTTGCTTAAGTAATAATTAAATAATTATTTATTATTTTTAACTAATGAACAATTAAAACAAGGAGGGGGTCCTTTATGTTTATTTCATAAACATTATGCTTCCTCATTGTGTGAAGCAAAAAATTCGCTTCCTCGTGAAGGAAGCAATGAATTTGTCCAATTCAATTGATTGATTTAAAAAATTTCGAGTTAAAAATGTTTTAAATTAATTAAATTTTTTGAAAAATAAAGAAAATTTTAATTAATTTTGAGTGAACATAAACTTTATATATACGAATCGATTCGTTTTAATGCAAGGAATACAATTATTTTATTCATCAACTTGAATTTAAAAAAAACACAAAATTTTTTAGCTAAAATATGAATTTTCGATTTTTCAATTTTTATTAATTCTCAAATTTTAAATCAAATCTATACTTTATATATACCAACCAATTCGTTTCAATGCAGGGAATAAAATTATTTCATATATAAACATGAATTTAAATAAACACATCATTTTTTAGCTAAAATGAGAATTTTTGATTTTTTAACTTTCTTTAATTCTTTAAATTTCAATCAAATCTATACTTTATATATATGAATCGATTCATCTTGACATAAAGAAGACGATTATATTATATATTACCTTAAATTTTTCGATTTAAAAAATTTTTCAATTAAAAAAAAATTTTTGGAAAAAAGACGATAAAATTTTTTTTTTGGGGTATTTTTAAAAATCCTCTCGTCATTTTTGAGAGATTAATGTGTTTAATAAGCCTACCAAATTTTATCCAAATCCATTAAAACCTGTTAAAGATATCGTGTTCACAAAAACGATCCACACACACATACACACACACATACATACATCCGGACAATTGATCAGGATCTCATATAACATGTTTCTATATAGAGGAAAATTTGTTTTCACCATTTTTAAAAAGTTTATAAACGAAAGGACTACATAGCTTCCTCCACGAGGAAGCAAAACAATACAAAATTGAGAAATTTTTTTTTAATTTAAAGACTTTAAAAAATACTTTAATACTAACAATAAGTTTACATAAAAATTTGTCGATTAAAACTTGTTGGACTTTTTGGGGCCTCAGTATCAACTTTTTCTTTAACAGTAAAGGGGTTAAAGTTTTTCGATTGATAACTCGTATTTGGAATTAAAAATTTATTTGCTTAAAAAAAATAATTTTTTCTTTATAATATAGTTTTAAACAACAAGACAGTTGTGCATAAGTTACTATCAAAATACAAAAACTAATATTATTGTGATATTCAATAATTTATACTATTGACAAGAAGATAAAATGATTAAACCATTTGGAAAATGAGCGTACGCATATAGATTAATAAATTCTGTTATAAAAATATTTCATTTCATTATAGGTGTTAGTTCTCTTATTCTGGTCAGCGTTGGTTGGTTCCTCAGTTTGACTATTTGTAAGAAGAAAAGAAGAGATCTTACAGACGAAGGACCAGATGATTTCACAACACCGACACATAAGTTTATTCAAAATCTGGAACCCAAAATAAGATATAGTTGCGATAGGAGGAGAACCCAGAGAACCAGTCTTTATGTAGAAGAAAATCGGAATGGTATGTTTTTTAAAAATTGTGAAAATAACAAATTACATTAATAGAGTATTAGAATTTAAATATATGTGATATCAGAGAAGAATATGACTACTTTAAGAAATAATGAGAATCACCCTATTAAAAATTTCTACGTCATATACTATGTCGTAAACAACGGAGTAAATTATGTTATAAACCACGTAGAAAATGATGTACGAAACGTCGAAGATGACGTAGTAAACTACGTCGATTACGACGATGGAAATTGGGATAGTAAACGACGTAGAAAACAATGTCATATGATCCTCCCATGAATCCATTTTTCGTTAAACTAAAAGTCGTTGTAATATTGCCTCCATATTATCTTAATGTTACAATGTAATCTTAAGGGAATAGTGCCGGTTGTGGGCACCCTTTTGTGCATAGCCCATAATTTTAACCAAATGCATACTATGAGATTTGTGTGTATCATTGGCAATCTAGAGGCCTTAAGGGAGCAATCGCAGTTGTAGCGCCAAAAATAGACCTTTTTTATGCATTTTTTTCTCGTAAACTATTAAATTTTTTTAAAATATCGATTTATTATTTAAAAATAAAATTTTTGATAAAATGGCAACCAGTCAAAGTTTAACTTTTGATTTTCGTTAAAAAAATCGGTCGTTTTTCAGCTGTAGAAAGAAAAGTTTTGCATAAAAAAAATTCCTTCCGTCAAGGACTAGATTATTATGTATTGAAATAGTGTGTTAAATTGCAAGACAATCGGTTCAGTAGTTTTTAAGTAAGAGTGGTCATCGACTTCAAAAATGTAGTTTTGAGAAAAACGTGTTTAAAGTTTTAACTTACTTTCACATGAAGATAGGATTTTATTTAAATCAAATAGAATCATCAACAAATCATCATATAATAATTCTTCCGCAGATAAAGCTGCTTCAAAAATCTCAATTCAAATATAAAGGTATACAGACCCACACGGCCGTTAGCCTGTTCTCGATCGACTTGACGCGCCTTCCTTTCAGCCTGTATATCTCATTCAATTTTCACCGGATCGTCTTAAAATTTTGTAGACATATTTCTGTCAACATCTACTTTAAGAAAATGCAAGAAAATCGATTTTTTGAAAGTTACAACTGCGATTGCCCCTTAAGTAACTTAAGTACCCTTGGAGAATCCGCAAAAAATGAAAAAAAATCAAGGAAAACCACCATAATTGGAATGAAAATGATAATTGCCGAATAGCACGGGATATTCCAATATTATATTAAATTATTTTTAGAAACTTTGTTTTTTGCATTAACAGCTGTCAATTTGACATAAAATTCGTGATCAGCGATTTTGAAAAAACCTAGTATAGTGTTTTATTAGTTAATACCTACTATCAATTTTGCTTCAGTGTTAAAAGATTAATTAAATATAAGTACGTATTAATTAAAAAAAACAAGGGTTCCTACAAACGGAACATGCACTTTTTTTAAGAGAATCGAGAATTTGTCGATTGAAAATCTAAAAAAATAGCAACCCTGGAAACACCCTGGCTTCCGGTTTTAAGAACTTTTAGGCTTTTTTTTAAATCGCAGCTATCGAAGTTTGAATTTTTCGATTGAAAATCTAAAATAATAGGAATCCTGGGAACACCCTGGCTTCCGGCTTTAAGACCTTTTCAGCTTCTAAATAGCAACTTTCGAACTTTGAAATTTTCTTTTGAAAAGTTGAACTTTACTTCATTGACATTATTTTTTACCAGACAGTATTATTAAAATAATAGTTCATAAATTTTTATTATAATATTATTGTAACAGTACAGTAGTATTAGGAGAATATTATTTTCAAAAATAACCCTAACTGGGGATTGTACCTCAAACGAATTGCATATGAACTGAGAGTTTTAACCAATGAGCTAAACATTTTATAATATATTTATGTTTATGATGATGCTTTATAAATAAATGAAGGTGTGCTGCTGTATTATCACTGTAATATTAGCGCTTAATATTACTGCAATATTATCCAGTGGTATTATTATCAGGTGAAAATTTTAATGTTACAGTAATATTACTGTAATATTACGTGCTACTTACGACTGCGGCTTTTGAATTTTGAAAAAGTTTTAAAAAAGATTCGAATAATATTATTTTAAATATTTATTATATTATTATTATATTGTTATTATATTATATTATTATATTATTTATTAAACCATTATTAAATTTTTAAGATTAAACATTATTTTATCATTTTAATTTATAAATTATTCTTCTGCTTTTCATTTTTTAGCCCTTGATCTTTCGTTTTCTTCCTCAGGATTTTCACTATTTCAAAAATAAGTTATTATTATTATCATTATTATTTAGAGATGAAATACCTGTCATCTGATTGATTATTTTTTTCCGACTTTTCGTCTTCATTGTGTAGAGCTTCTATTTTTTCTTTATTTTGTTTTCCCTCTTTCTTATTGAAATTTTCTTTTTTCTTAGGGTTTCTTAAAGTGCAACATTGACTGTTAAGCACTTCCAAATATTTATCAAATGAAAGTCCTTTGGTTTTCTTTGTCACATATGCTGTATAATATTTTTAAAAAGTTATTACATTATTTAATTGTTGTACTTTATAAATCTTAATCCGTTAAAAAATTGTATCAAATGTATTTTATATTTTTAGTGGATGTTAACAAAAGGTGTACTAAAATATCAAAAAGTTTATGTATGTTCAGAGAAATATCATTGAAAATTAATTAACTTTATTAAAAACAAGTTAATTTCACAGTGATTCAAATAAAAGAACATGGTTGCCACGGGTTAGAGAAATTAGGGAAAGTGAAATTGTTCAAGGAAATTTGGAAAAAGTCAGAAAGTTTTGTCAAGAGTACTAAAAAAGTATCAATTTTTTTTACAAATATGCTAGAAAGCCTATAATTTAAAAATTTTTAATTCAAATTATGTTTTATAAAAATACCGTGGATGTACCAGCTACCGTCCATGTCCCAGTATCCGTCCATTTTACAAATATCTCGTATTACTATTTAAATTATTTTTTAACAATAATTTATTCCTTTTGGCACGCAATCGACTTATTAGTTTAAGTAAACAAATAAAAGAAAATAATTTTTTTATAAATGTTATTTTGAAAATTAAACTGGACGGAAACTAGGTCTTAGGTGGACGGCAACTGGGACATCCACGGTAATTGTCTTAATTTTTTACTTATAATTAAAAACTTCTAAAAAAGTTTTATTAGTTAGAGAAAAATAAAAAATCCATCTGGAAATTAGGGAAAAGTCAGGGAAAGTGATATTGATCAAGGAAATCTGATAAAAGTCAGAGTGTTTTATCAAAAATACCGGAAAAGTAACTTTTTAAAAATGTACTGCTAAAACTATTATCTTTAAAAATTTTAATTCAAATTATTGTTTTAGTTTTTTATAATTTTAACAGTTTGAAATTTTTCTATTAGAGAAAAAATAAAATATCTGTCTAGAAATCACGGAAAAGTCTGGAAAAAACAAAATCAAATTTGTGTGGCAACCCAGAAAAGTAATAAATAATTTATTTGTATACATACAATACACAGCATTTCTGATTTCCTCTGGAACCCCCTTTCCTGGTTTTCCTCCTCTAGCGTGACCGAGAGCAGTCATAGTAATTAATTGTTCCCGCCCCACTAAATTGAACATTAAACGCCTGACCATTTCTTCAGGCCTTTTTTTAAAACGTGTAAATTCGATTTCAATGTTTGGATCTATGTATAACTTGTTATTGACAACTATTACTGATGATGAAGCATTATTTATGCTCGATGTATTGTTTTCAAACTATTTTCATAAGGAATAAATGCAATTGAATTACACCGATATATATGATAAAACAAAATTACTTTAAAGATTTTTCATTATAGACTTTTAAATAAAAAAGTTAAATTCGGTTTATTGGACAATAACGAAATTTATTGTAATTTATATATTGTAAAAAGAAAAATTATAATTAGAAATTAAATAATTTAATTCAAGAAGTAGTTTATTTTCAATTGATAAAATTTTTTCGCTTTTGTTTTTACATAATTAGAATAATTTAACGTTTTAAGTATTATTATTAAAAGTCTATCTTGAAATTTAAATTATCTATAAAAATATTAATTCTATCAAACATAGAAAAAATCTTGAAAATTATAATATCATAATTATAATAAATTATAACTAACTGGATTTGCAGTTGGATTTTTAAATAATTGCCTTTCAGCGTAGATAGCTAATTCTTTAAGAAATGCGACAATTTCTGGAGTTACTAAAAAAGGTATAATAATTTTATGTAAATTAAAATTGCGAAAATTAACATAATTGAAGTTAGTTTCGGAGTAACAAAATTACAATTTCATGGGATACTAAAAGCACCAATTCTAACCTTTGGGAAATAACAACATCATAAATTCTGATACATCCTTTCTGGAATTTGATGCGCTTTCAGTACTTTTTGAGGATTGTGGTTCAATGGTATCTAGAACACTATTATGTTGGACAATTACAGCGTTTTTTTCAGCTTGATCATTTCCGTAAGTTTCAGAAGTTTTAGAAACTTTTTTAAAATTCTTTGCCGACATGGAACCTTTCAATTATATTATTCTTTACTATTATTATTAGAATAATTATAATTATTTTATTAATTATTTCATTCATGATTTGTATCACAATGTAACGGACGGAATTCCGTAAATTTTTTAATTTTTTTTGTTAAATATTATTTATTAAAAAAAATATATTTGTCAATTAATACTACAAAAATGTTGTCAATTATACGTAAACAACATACACAACACACACACACATATATAAATTTTCTGATACTAAAATAATCAAATAATATTTCAAATTAATTTAATAACTATTCATAATTTTAATTTTCATTTATTTTAATTTTGAAATCAATGGTTATTTCGCAAATGATTTGAGATTATTGAACTTCATTTTGCGTAAAAATACGATATAATTGTGAAACGACTTTGCTAATTGTGGGACCTACAATGTATAGAAGTTG